TTACTCGTTTCAACTTGGCCAGCCTTATCAGGGCGGGTGCCTTCATTTTGCGGGCACCAGTCGGCTCTCATTCATTAAATCAATTGCAACGATTCTCGATAGACCTGAGGACAATTTCTACCATGACGCGAATCGACAATTACCTGACGTGATTAATATTTGTATTTTTGGCGATGCTCTTGGCATTTCCAGGCCACTGGTTATTGCCGTCTGCCAACATCTATCACAGTCATATATATATATATATATATATACATATATATATAGACACTTAATCTGTGGAAAATACGGGGAACCTATACAGTGTCTGATCTGGCTTCCGTCCCTTAGGCAATGATTAATTTACATTACCATGCGTACGACGGGTGGTTATGTCTGCCTTTAAACAGCTTAAATCTGTGAAAGCCCTCACCCGTATTTTTTGCTGGCCCCCAGGGTCACGTGCCTACCGCCATCCATCCGGCGGTTATCTGCCTCGAATGCAAAGCCTTCATTGCGAAATTGGACTTTTACGAGTCCTACAGTATGATGCAGTTTACGCTATACCAAAGTCACGGTCTATGAGAGACCTTAGAACTAACCGGTAAGTACCCAATATCGGGCAAACTGCGTCTGCGCATTGTGACCTATAGACATTTTATTTAAACATCTAAATTCACACCTTTCATTCCATATACCTTAACCCATAAACTATAGCATGCTTTCTTACTTATAATTCACAGTGAATCCCAACGAACATTGGAAAGCCAAGTATTCCCTTCTTGGGGCGCACTGCCATGTAAGCTTCTGCATATTAACTCGTCTAACATATCTAAATCGGCACACTTAGATATTTTTTTGCAACTAAATTCACTAAAAAACTAGGATTCAGATTAGCCTTAAGGAGGCATAATGCTGTGGTACAAAAACACACAAAATTATATTCACTCGCATAGAGGTGAATTAAGTTGGAATAGAATTTAAGCAATTTCACTCTGCTCAATTGTCTGGTTGAATTACGGTATAAGTTATTACAGCATACAAAATAATAAGCGTCTTCTTTCCCTGAAACCATCAGATTTTTTCTCTATGTGCGCTTATCTATTGCTCATGCGTACTACGATTAGGCTTAGCTAGTTCCGCCTCACATCTCGAGATAAATTAATCGAATAACTTTTTTTAGCACAAGTTTATTTACTGTTAGCAACCTTAGAAACCTTAGCGAACTATGCATACAAATAGCGTTGCAAACTAAGGGCTATCTTAAACAATTGCTTATAGCATTAAGTACAATGCAAGAGGGGGCATTAGAGGTACGCTCATAGCCCATGGGTAAAACTTGAGTTTCTGAGGAACTTTTACCGTTCGCGCTGCTCGTGATTTTTAGAGAACGCTACCTGCCTATTGCAATTGGTCGAGGAAGGGAGTAAGCCACAGTTGCGATAAATATGTAAGACACTGAGCCAACTAAGACCTCAGGCGAACCACAAAATCGTATTTCCGGGCATCATGCGTCACGTTAATAGGTACTTAGGCGAAAACTGCTCAGAAGTTAACACGACGTTTAAGAAGGGGCGGAAACGGAACTTTGTATGTTTTTATCATAAAGGTATATGGAATATCGCGCACTTTTCGCGGCCAGCCTTCTCAACACTACTTCCACCTAAAATTACCAGCTCAACTGACAAGCACAGCAGATGTCCAGCAGCTTTTTTTATGTGGAGGTTAGCCTGATCTTTAAAACAAAACCCCTAAGGAATTTTTTTCGATAGGCACAGGATCCGGGATTGAGTGGAGGATCTCCACAATTGACCCTGCTACATGCAATTTACCACAGGCCAATTGTAATGAAGCAAAACTCTCATTACTTTATGAGATCGGTAAGTTCATAGTACGAAAAGATCTAGTTACGAAATTGTTTATAGATAAATAAACAGTAGCGTTCACAGGATACATGCCTATGTAAGGTTGCATGTTGGGCAGGCCAAGTTTCTATTGTAACGGGCTCAGTGTAGAAGAAGCACATGAGAACGAAGAACATTCTCACAGCCCTGTAGCGTTTCAACTTATGTAGAGACGGATTCTACGGTGGATAGCATCATAAGCTCTTTCAGGATTTGACGACGCTACCAAAGAGCGAAAATTGAGTTCCAGGCACCCTAAGATAAGCCGTACACATTTTTCTAAGGTCTATTTAAGACTAACCCTGGTTTATGCACTATATGTAGAATTATGTATGAGGCAGGTATCACACATAGAGGAAAAGAGACGATATTGAAGAAAAAGAAATTAAAACTCAGGGACTCGCAGTTATTTCGGCAGGCTTTTGTAAGTCTGTAGGCTCAAACGTTGGTAAGATTTTATAGCGCATAATGCTATCGCTTAAAGCGGTTGTTTAGAATAATGCTTACTTAGAACGGTCACAACCTAGGATATAAAATCAGTTTGTTTATCATGCCGTAATACTCAAGATGATTCGCGTTTTTTGCGAAGGTTTATTTGGTTCAATGATTATCAGGCGTTGAAAGCACGCGTCGTGCGTCATGAAGGGCATACGATCGCCTCCTATGATCACTGCTAGGCGCAAATTTTCATAACATTCATTCAGCCCTGAAACCATCTATCTGGCAAACGACAAATTTATGACGCAATTAAGATTGTTCCTGTTCTCTTGAATCAGTTGGTCGCTTTCGCAATCCGCAGAAGTTCAATCGGTTAAAACTCTACAAAATGAGCTGCTGCTTAGTGAGTTTGCAGAATAGATAATGTTTAGAAAATTTAGTTTTCAGCCTTTGTCATCAAAGGGGCTTGCCTTCAGAAGTTCTAGTTGTCCTGTGTCCCGTACCTGATATTGTGCATTCGTAGAAAAGTAGTGCTTTCCCGACATGACCTATGCGTATTGTATGTATATAATTAGGGAACGATAATGTAGCGGAAAAACTTCAGCGGCCGTTTTTCGATGGTTTCAAAACTATTATCAAATAGAGTACTGTTCGGCATGAAAAAAATAGGCGCACAGGATCAATGAGAATAAGACATTATAGAGACTATCAGGTGATGCCGTTCGAGGACCAAGTCAATATCCAACAATTACTACAGTAACACGAACGAATGCTTCAGATAATAAAATGATGAAGCAGACACATTGAAGAACGGTCCAACCATGAAGGTCACGATAATGGATCTAGACAGGACTACAGGCCGTTATTCAATACTAAAATAAAAGAAAATTTCGCGTTAAACGCATGCGATGCTCAATGGAACGCAACTGTCGTACGTAAATCCCAAATGAGGATGTGAATCGATCGGGATATTTAATTGTATGTGCATCACTAATGATGAAAATTAAGATAATTTAATTAAGTGAGTGCAACACAGGCCAAAATTTGGATGGAAAAATCGGGATGCAAAACTTTTAGAGAGCCTGCGAAAAATTGCAAAAAACAAACACTTATGTGTTCATAGGATAAAACTCTCATTTGGAAATTAATTGCGACGAATTTGTTCTACGAATTTCTTAGCATTTAATAAATGTCCAGTGAATTTTTATTTATGAATTTAATTTTATTTGTGTGCAAAGGTTTTCTAGGTTGCGCGCGGAACACAATGTTAGCTTGACGCTGCTTCCAAGCTTCATCTAGAAGACACAAGCCGACTACCTGAGATCGCCAATTAAGATGCTCCGATGACATGATCCGCTCCGAGATTATTACTATGTAATTATCACTCTTAGATTCCCGAAGCTCCAAGTGAAACTATTATGTTGTTTAACATAAACATTTTTAAGCGTCTACCGGTGAGATTCGTTCTTACATCGTAAACTACTCGATGGCGGACCTTTTTTCGCACCGTCCGCTGAGAAAGCTATCTGTGACACTCACGAGCTGCTGATAGTATCAAAAATCAGACTTTATCGATTTAATATTATAGTGATGACGCAGCGCCCTCAGCGGCGTCATCAGGCGTGCTACTGCTGCCACTGCCGCAAAAGATGCCGCAGGTGTTGCTGAGAGTCATTTATTTGACACAGCCGGATTTACGTGCAGAAAGAACACAGACGTCGCCTTCTTGTGAATCATGCCCGTTGATTGTCATTAATCCTAGGATTCACTTAACGAAATTCGCAGAACCCCAATTTTCATTAGGGACGCTTAAATGCGGGTAACTATTGAGGGTTCTCGATTAAACGTAAGCTAGTCCTTTGCGAAAATATCAGCGAAGGTCGAACGTCTACATTCAGACCCCTTGCTCTGCACAGGACTTGAAGGTTGCGAAGATCTTTCAATCAAAGTAGTTACAGCCTTTGTGGGTTCAATCACTGAAGACATGAACGTCTGCTATAAAAAGTCTGGGAAAACACATATCGGAACGGATTGTGAAGTCGTGTAATCTACTGCTCGATCATTTACATTTTTTAGGAAAACTTAGAATTGGATATAGACATAAGTGACATACGAACTTATATATATTTATAACAGAAGTTCGAAATTTTGCTGTGGAAACGCATTTAGATGTTAACACTCAAATTTTACGTTCGCGTTGGTAGCGCAATGATAAGCGCCAGCCCGGCGGCAAATAGTCCTCGTATAGAAAAACCGCAACTTCCCTTGAACTTGAACATTGTTGGTTAGATAATTTAATTGTAGATATCGTGTAAAACCACCAGTTTAAAATTTGTGATGTTTAATTTTAAAATAAATAGGGCTTATCATGGCGCTGGAAATATATTCACGTCTAAAAATTACCTTAGGCGTCATATCGTGATCAGCTCTTACATCATAGTAAACTATCCTAAAATAATTCAATAGTTATTTAGCATTAATTATTATTGTGCCAATACATTGGTGAAAGCTTCTGAAGTTCTAACAAGCGGCTCTATTTGTTCGCTTCTGTATTGAACACGTTTCCAAAGTACATTTTTAATGGGCAATATTATATTTAGGTGTACATACCGTTCTTTGAAATAATTTGTTCAAATCTACAAAGTATTGTTTGTTTATATTAATCCATGTCCATTTCAGATTTATCTCAACCCGGGCGCCTGTGAAATTGCGTTTTTTCTCTCAGGAGTATTTGCCTCATTGTCTGTTTGGCTGACGGTTGGCTTCACAGCTGAACGGTGAGTTTAAAAAGACCTTCGTTTGAGCAACGTCATACCGGGTATGTAAAAAACATGCATCCGAAAGTTTCTCTCGATTCTCTAAGGCAGTCTTAAATAGAAAAAGATCATCATCAATAGCACCATTAGCTAGCGCAGATTTGAATATTTGCTAGATCTGCTCGTTTAGTGGAGGCTTACCATCCGTCTTACAGCTGCTGTGACGGGGTTTCTTTTCAGGGCGACGCATCCTCTAATGTAGCGACACGATGTTTTGAGTGCAACAGGCTGGCTGTTAACGATATTTCAGGCCCGTCTTATTAGTACGCACAAAGTTGCTAATTTTCTACTAGTAGAGTTTGGGCATCAGAGTCGATAGCGGATTATAGCTTGCCCGAAACTGTGTTTTCGCCTTGGAATCATACTATTCGTTGTTGTATAAAAATGAGAACTCCACCCCTTTTCTTAGCTTTGACCGGAAATCTCTGAGAGTCGGAAGACAGAAGGGCCTTTTTGAACCCTCTCCTAAAGGGTTTTCGCCACGTATGCAACAGCGAAGCCCAGCTTGAATATCGATGGACTGAAAAAATTAAAAACATGGTACAAGTAGTAACTGAAGAAGCGTTAAAACAGGGTTTAGAGTGTACTTCGACTCGAAACATGTGCATAGTAGTGAAAATTAGAGCTATAATAAATTCTATCTTTCTCGTTACAGCTAATTATACATTAATCAAAATGACATCTTAGCCTATGATCGAAGGCACACATGAATCGTACGTCTCTCACCATATATTTTAACTCCCCTTGACCGTCTAGTAATATAAAAGTAAAAGAAACGAGCCTGAAACTGATAGTTTCGTAAATAAATAAAGAGTATACATAGGCTCATATAGCAATGTTTCAAATATGCCTCGTTACGTTAACAGAATTCACCTTCCAAATACATTTGCTCACTGTTGGCACTCAGCCAGAAGTCACTTCTTACAAGGAGGAATTTCTTACATGGGCATAACAGCTTGTTCCATTTTGCACAATAAGAAGTTGTCGGTTCAGGTTCGATGCGTATGGGCATGTGGGGAGCCATATCCCAATCAAGCCATAACCCAAATTCCGCATACTACAAGGTCAGTCTACTCGATTTGATTTCACTCATTCGCCGGCAGCCGAAAAACCCGCATTGAAAGTAAACTGGTTTCTAATAGGTGTGAATGCACACTGTCGGAGTACCTATGTACGACTTTCCCAAGCGAACGTGCGCTAAAACAGCGGTGAACACTATTAGAAGGAGTTCTTGCCAATTACGACAGTAACGAGCGGACCCGCTAAACGGATCAGGTGTTTCAGTAACGGTAATGTATTTGGCTATATGGCTACGTACCACGTGAAGGAATCCCGTTGAAGCAGTGCGAACGTCTGTGCCAAATTTGATTAGAGTTGTCAAGGTAGCCCATCCGTGTAGTGTTCAAAACAAAACAGAACGTTTTATGTGGCCTGTATCGTGATATAACCATTTACTATAGCGAAGCACAACGCGTGTCAAAGCGGGTTCTTGAAGTGTCTACATACAATAGAGCCGAAATCGATAAATTGTTTATCGTTCGTGTTTCACCTGGAAAAAGCAGCGACCCAGCTAAAAGGGAAGCAGATGTAGCCGCTCAAAACAGCAGATAGCGATACGGTCGGCTTCTCCGGACCTTCGCCGAACGTACCTGCTTTCCGTTTACCGATGAGGAAGGTACTTTTGATTTGCGACCACATCATTAAGCCCATTGAGCCGGCTTTAAAACAGCTCCTGCCCCAAAAGGGCCGGGCGCGCAGAAGCATGATCGATATCGCAAATGTGGTGGCCGATACTGACCAATACACGGATGGATACCGTAAGTAACCTGGTAGCAATATTCGTGCAGGCGGAATACCACGAATGTATAAAATTTAAAAGAGGTAAGTACATTTGGACAGTAGAAGGACCAGCGGAGAAACCAGCCAGGAGCCGAAGTCCATGTATTATCCGTTCCTGTATTCGAACGATATCCTCGCGACGGAGCTGGTTAACGAGGATGTAACCCTCGTCATTACTGAATTGGGCCAGTTGTTAGGAGCAGCTGATACAGCTGCCGAAACGAAGTAGCAAGAAATAGCCCTTAGTACTGTAAGAAAGGTCAAACTATTTCTGCATACCAAAATCAATGGGGGCCCAATGGAACATGAAGACACGACTCTCAGCAGCCAAGTAGCTTAACCAATCAGAACATGGAAACCGATCATTACAAACATTGACCTGCATTAAGGAATCATCGTCTACGCATGGCAGCAATCAGCGCATCATCAGGCCCGAATCGCTACCGTCTTTTACCACGAGCGCCAACATTCGAGGATTTTGTAAATCAAATCCTCATAGCGGTTTCTGCTTGTGCAGAGTCCTCCAAACGTGGCGATCTTCGCCAATGCATCGCAAGTACACCAGGGATCGATTGTGAAGTATTCGACGAGGCCAAGCTCCAACAAGACGCTGAGCATGGGATTGCGTAGTAGTGGCGCCTCTTAAACTGATGGTCTGTGTAGAAAATTGTCGATATCATTATGCTGATGAAAACCCGGGTGACTCGTTCGCTTATTTCTCCGGATTTTACGCCGTAAATTGCTCAATTCGAAAGAGTAGCGGCCCAGGAGGTTCCAGTGCAGGCGTCTCTGTATCTTATAATCATAGGGAAGGTGTCTCTTTGCCAAAAGTAGTTGAAGATAATGTCCGACGTATTTTTATCGTAGCCGCTTATGTCCGCCCCGTTTCATCTGTCTTCACCGCCCCGTTCAAATATCTGCTAAAAGAGAAGCTCATTGGCGGTCTGAAAACGCTGTCGCTCCCTTTGATCTTTCCCCTAATCATAACTGGTAGCTTTAACGTTCCCCTGTGCCAACTTGATTTAAATCGCACATCAATGCTTTGAGACATATTTGTAGAGTATAGCTGCTGGATAATCAACCAAGACCGGCATCGGCATGTAAAGCACATACTGGAGCAACGGCTATCGATGTCACTGCGACGAACGTTACCTGAAAGGAAGTTCAATTATTTAAAAGAAATAGCCCGTTCAGGGCAATCGACCTCAGACATCCCGATCGTTATAAATCTGTAGGTGCCAGTAGAACCATCTCGGACTTTCAGAAACCTGTCGAGTAGCCTATATATGGAGATTCTCCGAGAGGAACCATATACGTCGTCTTGGTATCTCATGTTATCAGCATAAAGAGCTGCATACGACATCTCGTCGAAATCATTTATGCATCCGTCTGACCCACTGCCCTTACAAAACAGAGACCCTAATCCGATAACATCTGTTGCTTTGCCCTAGACACTTTCAGACGACTGACAAAAGTGCAGCAGGCAGCTTAGTCTCTGGCCGCGGTGCTCAAGCCAATCTGCCTAATACCATATGCCCCGCAATAGGAGAGATACCTGGAACTGATGAAGAATAGACACGTTGCAGAAGCAAAGCAACAGGTATACAAATGGCTAACACGATATGGATCAACTGTATATCTAATAGGCCCAACGGCACTGATCAGTCGCTTCACTGGTATGTTCTCGACTAGTGACCTTTTGAGTGATGCCATTGTTCTTTGCTAGTGATGATGTGTAATTCGTGATAGAGCGCAGTCTACTCGAGCGAAAGTTTACCGCCCTGAGAGTTTTGCTGACGCTTGAAAATTTGTAAGGCAACGGACCCGAGCGAGGTCCGCAGTAGGCATCTGAGAATCATCCTCGTTCTTCTTCTTCTTCTTCTTCTTCTTGCCAGTTCAGTAAAAGCATGCTTCGCTATTGGTAATTCAAGAGGATGAATGCGAAATAACTTTGCCGTCTTCATGGAACGGAATTGCAAAGAAGAGTATGTGTTACAAATTGCTCGCCGGTCTGCTAATTAAAAGACTGTCTCCTTCCTTAGAAAGTAGGAAAGCTATACCGAGGAAACAACTTGGATTTCAGAAAGAGCGTTTGACGGGGACGGCATGTAGTGTTTTGATGGTCGATATTAAAAGCGCACTTAGCAGTTCAGCAAACCCCTATACGTGGTGTTTGCTAACTTTAGGGCCGCATTTGACGCTGCGTCCAGAGATCTGGTTCTGCGTACGTAGACATACCACAGAATATGTTTGTGCTGCTGCCTACGACCGTACAAAAAAAAACTACCTTAGCTTTAGACGGGACATTGATGGTGGAGCTTTTTACTTTTTGTCGTGCAACTGGCCTGGCCCAAGATGATAATCCGAGCCTTCTGTTTTCAGTCCTATCTAGAAATCTTCCTGATAGAACAAAGACCCGAAGGAAAGTGGTTGAAGTTATCCTTTACGCCGATCGTTTGGCACTCCAGGACACTAGCAAACATCAAGTGAAGCAGGCTCTGACTAAGTTTTATATGGCAGTAACGGAAATGAGATTACTGGTCAACCTAGATAAGACGGAAGCAGCATAAATTAGCAAAAGAGACAAAATCGCTGCCGGGGATAAACTGCCCCTTACCTTCAGTTTTTTCCTTCAGTACATTAACAAGTTTCCATATATCGAGCCACTCAGCCCTTCAACCTTGCCGTCGCACAGCACAGGAAGATGAAAAAAAGCGTTGACGGTATCTCGTATGATCAGGGCCCCAAATCTCTTTCTTCTAACGACAGCGGTTCACCTATTCGACTCTAAAATGGCACCGTTTGCTTACGGGATAAACATGATCTGAGAAGATTTGATAATAAGGGAATCTTGAATTACTTCATTAAGTGAAGACAACTCTTTCGTCGTGCGACGAGAAATCGACTAGTTGCTCCTTGACTCCTGGACCCCTTGTTGGAGGCCCATTGCTTATTGAGAATTTCGTTTTGAACTCCAATCCACCGAGGCCTTCTCTGAATGTCGTAGCAGATAGGCGCAAAAATTTGCCGAGATAGAGAGTGAATTGTTCAGTACGAGAGGTATGAGAGACAATGGTTGAAATGAAGCGGAGAAGACAGTCCATCACACAGCTTCCATCCGAGATTGTATACGAACAAGCACTTCGGTGAGCCTAATAACCTATAGATCAACTGGCGTTTGTACACAGCTGTTTCTGGATAAGGAAAGTCAAGTGCTCTGAATAGCAATGAAAATGTTACTTGATTAGTGTACATGTACATATTAAAATAACACTTTCGCATACAAAAGCATATTTTAGCAAATAGGTTGCTATAGGCTATACCGAAGGGAACAATATTGACTTGAACTGACTAACCACAAAGCCAGACGTATTGCAGATTAAATCCCTTATATTTTTTCGTCGATAAAAAGTTGTTTAGATTCACCCGCAAGAGTCCATAGGGTTCGGTACCGCTATTCACAATTTTACTCTTGATAATATAGTAACTGTATAAACTAAACGACGCAAATCGTTCTTCCATTTTACTTTTTAAAGCATAACTATGAGCTATAACCTTTAGAATACAAAGTTCACGGCGCTCCGTAGTTCTGCAACACGCATCTTTCACTCTGCGGGAACTTTTCTTGTAGAACTTGCTGCTACCGTGGAATTTACAAAACGAGTATGATCTTTAATGTACTATTGCCAGATTGATCTCTGACGTGAGCTGGAAACTTCACCACGTTAATAGCGTACCAATGAAGTTGTGAAAGTACCATCCAAGACAGTATCAACAAATAATCGAGAAACGACGCTCATTGCAATTTTTTTTAATATCTGACTTACATTTCAACAACTGCATGTAATAAATAACCAATGGGATACTTTAAAGGAAAAGAGCTATATATGTATATATATATAGTTGGCATATATATTTATACATATAGCTGGCATATATACCATCCAAATCAGAAGGTGACAAAGCTTATCTAGTAAAAGGGCTAATCGTTTTGGCTTCGAATTGAGTTTATTTAGATCTTATGAAAAATATATTGCATCATCGAAAAAGCACTGACCGTATTTAAGTTAAATAAATATTTTTATATTTTAAAATAACATTACTGAACTAACTGAGGCCATTTTGACTGATAACTCTGCCATCTTTTTTCGTAACATTATCACTGTTGGACCTTTATGGTCTTTAGGTAAAAAATTGCGATAAATGATCTTTGTATCTCTCAATTAAAATTAAATCAACATCATTAGGAAAATTGTGCAGAGCTCGAAGTAAGCGGTGAAAATCCAGGTTACACGGCGAATATTTCCATCGAAGTTGTTCCAGTTCTTTCCAAGTAACTCAGGGTCTCGTATTTTCATAGCGGAAGACAAATCTTTTCCTATTCATTAATTCCGGTCGTTTTTTTTTTTCAACGGCATATTGTTGTCTTGTTGACTATTGATAGTAGTGATCTGAATTAATTGTTTCGCCATGTGGCAGCTCATATTCGGTGCAGAATTATTTTTTTAATACTACCAATTAATAACGATACTCCGTTCGGCTTTAGTATGGGCTTTGCCACGGATCTTACAGCTTATTATTATTATGATTTTCTTTTTTTTTTCCTTTTCACAGTATTGCCGTATGTGACCGTTTTCCGTCATTTGTAATCATCGACCGCTTCAAATGCCCAGACCTCGTCGCGTTTCACAGACGGGGGAATATGATCAAATAGATTCTCCTGTTTCAATTCGTACTGCATCAGCTTTTTACGACTGTTTAGTGATGAATGTTTGTTTTTTGAAGATATCATAACTGTTGACGTGTCGGTGTTTAGCGATAACTTACAGAGAGAAAGTGACAGAATCATCTTTGGTCTACTTCATGACAGCAAATAAAATGATAAAATAAAACACTTTTTATAGAAATTTCATTCATCTGAAGACAATTAGTACATCTATTATTATTATTAACAAGCTCTCATACGATACGTAAATCACGCTCGACCCGATGTCACTCATATCATCTCAATTATGTGGATAGAAATGGAGCCATCTGACTAGAAAAGCGGTCAACGTTAATGTTCTTATAGGCAGAATTTTCTAGTTTGACCATTGCGCATATTCGAGATAAAATTCGTTTGCAAAGGAAATCCTGCTACCTATTCATTGTTTGGCACTTACCACATTGTGCTCATTATATCGCAAGATTTTTGTTTTCCTGGTAAACGGTTTGAAAAGGCAGGCAGGCAGGTATCAGCGTCGCGCATCCTATTCAAACATTCAAACTTGAACAATAAAAAGATAGTATTTAAGTTCTAGCTTTTATCATTGTATTAGAAAATTACTCCACGCGCGGCACTCAAGGGACGTCTATAGATATTTCGCTGTTATTAAACGAAGTACCCTGAAGTTAGACGCGAGGTCGCACTGGCAATTGCGGATAGTTTATATTATAATTTCAAGGACTTTAGGCACTCGCTTTTAGCAAAATCGAAGGCTAGAGGGATGTTCTACCGGGTCCTCGATGTCCATGTACGATAAGCATTCTGGTTCCTGGTTCTTTACTGCTATTTTCGTCATCACGGTTTGTATCTCGTAAAAACTAGTGAAATGTTTATGTTTGAATCAATTCCTTCACGGAACTCGAAATGTTGCATGGAAATACATTATTAGACGTTAGCAACTGAAATAAATACGATAAATATTGTAAAACAGTCTGTTAAAAAATACGTTTTAATGTATAGATATTTGGAAAGCTAAACATTTTATGAAAACCTAACCTAAAGACATTTAAGGCATTTAGAAGAAACTTTCCTTTTAATTGCTTTATCCTTTATCTATAGATGCTTTTCTTTGTGACAACGTGTGTTTTACGGAAAAAAAAATGGAAAGAGTCCACACGTATGTGTACAAGGGAATGTTCAATTTTTGTTGAAATCGTAAAAAGGCAATGGGTTTTATGACTGAAAAAACCCATTGTATTTTTTTAAATCTTTTTCTCTGTTTTTTTTTGTACTTAAAATGCACTGCACTATCGCATGCCTCTGCTACATATATCAGGCATTCGAACGAGCTTTATAACTGGTCCAATTGCTCAAGCAGACCTCATCGTTACCCCATAGCTAAGTTTACCCACATAGAAAACTATCTAGCTACGACATAAAACCGTCGAAGAAATATCGACAATACTAAACTGGATGCAGAGAACAAAAAATAATCCAATTTAATAATATGAAAGACTCTTCAAGGTAGAATGAGTTAGGTGTCGCTTGTCTACTGTATTTTCCTTTCAGGTATCTGGCAGTTTGTTATCCGCTTTGGAGACTCCACCTGAGTACGAAAAGGCGAGCAAAGGTCGTTGTAGCAGTACTCGTGATACTCAGCATTATAGCGAATCTTCATGCCCTCTTCACCGTCACATTAAAACCCGATGGAGATTCCTATGAGTGCAGTGCAGATGACAGCTATGAACAGTTAGTTTTTAACTTTGCCCTTTCTCCATGTTTTGCGATTCTGTGCGGCCGGCCTTATATCGAATGCTTTATTCGTAGTGGCGATCTTGAACAGTAATCTAATGTAGGGGAAATTCGAAATTATTTTAGTCTGCATTAGTTTATCTATTCTTTTTTCAATGATTATCGTTTTTATTTTCACTGTTTTTTTCAGACACCCACCCGTACAAGTCCACCGGAACTGTTCGAAGTGTTTCAATATCGTAAAATAGTCAGAATATCCATTGTCATAATGTATTACTGGTCTTTACTATCACAACTGGTATGGATAATTTAGGAAAAATCTTACTTATCAATATCGGCAAGAATGGAAGTTTGTTTAAACGATCGGTTCGTTTGTTCCATCACCGTGATAATGATTCCAGTGTTATCTGTGGGGTGCAGATACCTATTGTACGGGCTCGCTGATATGGACGCAGTCCCATCTTAGTACTTACGCAGCTAAGCCTTTTGTATCAACGTCGTGGTTAGGTGTTTAGTGCTAAAACACAATCGCCAAGATAAGTGCGTACCGCTTTACCGCAAATTTCGCCCATGGCAACTTTTGCATCAAGTTACTTGCAATGGTTACATATGACGTTACCTGTGTGTAATCAGAGTACGTACCACAACTGTTACTGCCTCAAGACAATATCGGCAAACTGCTTTTATACCAGCTGAGCATGCTTCTGTCGTGTATATTAGTTAATTTATTCATTCCATTCTAATGGATGTTTAGTTTCTGTGTAAGCCAACACTTCCCTAGTAAACATGTTTCAACGTATCTACGTCATAATAACACTCAGTAGTGAACTCTATAGCCGAGCGCCGATAGAGACTTGATAAGCATGATCATTAAAATTGATTCAGTTGATAGAATTAAGCAGTATTCTCACGAGGCTAGCTGGAATAGTGCCTCAATCGCTTAAGTCCCGATTATTCCTTTCCAAGCACTTCACGCCGGACTCAATGCATGTGTGACACAGTTGTTTTCAGCCTTCGAAATAGTATGTAAATAGGTCATGAGAGGTGCAAACCCGGATGACGCTGTTTCCGGATTTCCTCAGTCGCCTCAAATCTTTTTGCTTTCAGGCGTTTTTCTAGATTCGGGAAAACTAAAAAGCCACACAGGGCTAGATCTGGAACTCCTCATCTCTCGAGACAATTGGGCTGATCTTTGCTAAGAGCTTTTCGCCTCTAAATAATCTTTTCAAGCGATATGATAGCACCGATATGAGGTGTCTAAATCTCCTGTAAGACCCCTCTGCAGATATTTCAGTGAATCTCTAACACAAACAGCACTTTTTCGCCCCTGATTATTCTGACGGGACGCTTTCAGGGCTTTCTTTAATCCGTTGTTAGGTGCGGTGCCTCAGGCATTCGAAGGGTCGACGCTACCATAAGGGACGCATAAGCTCTTCCCAAAAACGTTTTGTAGTGTTAGCACCTGTACCCTTCTTGGTTTCTCCATTGCTGCTTTCCGGAAGAGCGACACACGGCGAAAAGTCGTTCATTTGAAAATGCTTACAAAATACAAAGCACGTGTTCAAAAACCCTGGAACTTGGCACGCCAGTAGTAGGCAGGCAGGCAGGCAGGCAGGCAGGCAAAAATAGCGCCACAAGTCAGGCCTTCAGTCGAAAAAAACTAACGTTTTCCCAATACTTCATTAACATAGTGGCATGACCACATGCATATTTAGCTAGCTTCCCAACTCGCGACTTCGGCTTTAATATAATTAGACAGTATACAAAAACAAAGATTTCATTTAGGTGAAGGCAATAAGCAAAGCTGTCGATTGATTAGAACACCAGTCTATTTACTAGTAGTACTGGGCCGAAGGTTCGAAATTAGATTATCTGATTGACGCTACCAAGGGTTAGATGCTTAACTTGATTATAGCCTTGCAACATCAACTTTAATGCTTACGGAAGTTCCAATTTTTCTTTGGAAATACAGTTCTTGAAGCACTGTTGCACCTACTGAATCGATAGACTTTGAGAACATAAGGTATATCCGTTCAAATGTTACCTTTGCTGTGACACAAGGTTTTCTATTTCTTTTTATTTACAGAGTTGTGTACTACGCAAACATAGTGGATACACTGACCACGTTTGTCCTTCCAGTGCTATTGATCTCTATGATGAATCTGATGATTGCGAGATCCACCTTTCTTTTCTATGCACGTTGTCGTCAACAAAGACCAACGTTGTACGTACGTACCTCAAATGGACCAACGCCAGAACCGCTCAAAGGTATACTTCCAATAGTTCGTATTCCTCTCACAGATCCACAGTGCCATCGTCACTTAGCCTTAGCATTTCGCGTGCAGGTGACGACTCATAAAATCATAGACTAGCTAGTAAACTGCAAAGGGAGCAGGATACGATTTCATACCATTACTAAAGCAAGTGGATAATCTCGGGCCGTCAGACCGCTCGACGCTATCGAATATTCCTAATTTGAATTATTTATTTGAACGATATGGAGGGAAATAGAATTGGACAGTAGCGGCTGTTGGAATGCCTTGTTCAAGGAAAAAAGTTTAAATAGAATGACGATTAATTAAAAACTCTGTAAAAGCACTATTGAGTAACAGTACTGCACACTTTGTATTAAAAATTTGGGATTTTACACTGTAGGAGCACAGATTGCAAGTAATACACATGTATGGAGAATAGCTAGGGGACGCGTACTGCCAGAGTCTTAGCAATAGTACCTTCAACATATTCAAACAAGTCAGCCCAACGTGTCATAAGATGTATGTATCCCAGGCTACACCTTGATTTATTGGCAAAACAATAGTTTTAAGCACCTAAGCCTCTAACTTAATATGATAATATATAAGTCTAGAGGTGTATGTGTACGTTATATGCCGAGTTCTTTGTTTGATCACTTTGGAACCAAAATGAAAGGTCTGTCTATTTAGATACACGTAAAATACTGATCGTGAAAGTACGATTGAATGAAATGCATGGATTCATTGTTTATCTCAGGACGGTGCCTAGCATGGAAGCTAGCAATAGTTTGAATTGACATTTGAGTTCGCATAGGTTGTATAACGCATACAACACACAGTCGAGAAAAAGACCCGGATTCCCAACGTTTGGCTCCGTTGTTTTACCAATAACAGTTGCAGACTGCTAAAAATCCCTTTAGCCTTTTAATAGAGTACTTATTTTAACGACTGCTATGTAGCCATTTAATATTATAAGGGATCCCAGCGATAAAATGTGCAACAAAAACCGTACACGCTGATCCCCTTCCCATAGGGGGTACTGCCTCATCCAAATTTTTGATTAGGATCTAACCTGATATCTCTCGACGAGGCGGACGCGTACTTCTACTAACCTACAACAGGACGCTAAATATGATGCTTCTTTCCTCACCCCTAAGTTCCGCGCTATTGCTGGATTATAGGCAAACGTTTATGAATGGAAAGAAACGCTACTCCGCTATACTCGACTATGAACGAGTAAGGAATTTCCCTATTAACAAGCCTTATAGTAGTATAGTGAGATTATAGCGACGAAAACATATGTAAAAAGCGTAGCCAACAAATGCGATCTTTATCCTGTCAAGAGTTGGGTGCTTGCTGTGACGAAATAAAACGAGATGACTATTTACATTATTTTTCCACATAAAAGCTCATCGAGTTTTATTTGCGTTTGCAAAAAGAAGCCTTTCAAGAAGGTCGGGTACGCAATTGGTGCAATTTTTCTGCACTGACATTCTAGTCGTTACCCAGGATAACGTTGCTGCCCATGCACTTAATTTTTCCCAAGCAGATTTTTCAAAGCCGTAACATAGAAGCCTTTTCGACAGGCCTCTATGTTACAGCTTTCAACGTTGATTCACGCCTGCAATTCAGTAGCGTCGTATAGTTCAAGTAGGGGCTATTACTATATGCATTTAGTGACTGCTTGAACTTTGAAATAATCCTTGGTGTAAAGTCGCGCCCCTTTTACCATGTTTTCCTAACCTTTCTAGCCTGCTCAATAAATAGAAGGACCAAACCTATATGGCCGACTTCAGACTCTGTACATGCCTTTAAAACTTTTTAACTGCACAAAATATATATGCTATTAAAGGAGATTATACGGCCCATAATTGAACCGACTGATGTTTTGTGTTCTGTCGATGCCATAGGTAAACGTCCTGTTGTTCTTTGACAGAACATATTCACTTGACCTTGATTAAGTCGCAATACGTACTTTTTTAAGTCCCAGGTAAAGTGATTTAAATAACGCACCACAAAATGACTCTGGACCGTTATTGTTGCTCAAGTTTACGGTATGATCTAGGCTTTTGGTCGGTTTAAAAGGAACTACTAAGTATATAAAAAAAAAAAAAAAAAAAAAAAAAAAAGGAACACAATCTGTACATCAGTGCAACAGCGTCCTTCTATTTTGCAAATAAATAGATCATACTTTTTCCCGCTTCCCGTATACATTAGGAAATCTGATAAATTTCACTAAATCAGTCTTTTTGATAACTATTACATCGAAAGCTAGACTCCCATTTAATTATTGTACTGGGATCCATTATATATAGTATTTTTTTGGTATGTGTAATGTATGATCTGGATAACAAAAATGTATCCTTTCTTTAGCTTCCGCTGCTGCTAGGTGGCTAATAGCCAATACCAACAAATGCCTCGTTACTATCTAGAACGTAACAATGGAACATGCTATATAATTTGAGCACAAAAAAAACCTTTAAAATTCTGCTGAGCAAATAATTTTCCTCCAAATGATTTCTTGGCGGGTCCCGAGAGTGACCATGTTAAACCTTTACGACAACCTCCGATATCAATAAAGTGGAACAATTTTGTGTACAGTATATATTCTGAATAGCTAAATGTGGGTTGTTTTTTCGCAGTACTAAACACGCTAAATGGGGGCCCTGTTATGCTCCAACAACAGCAGCAGCAGCAGCAGCAGCATTTTTGCAAAATGGAGATAGGAATAACACAACATAATGGGAACACAGCTCCATCACTGGTAAACAATCGAACGTCTGGCCGAACTTTAGGAGTGTCGTCGGCTTCTCTCGGTATTAGCGGTATGGCTGTTCCGTCTGCGATTCAAATCACGGTGACTCGAATGCTCTTGCTAGTGTCTACCGTCTTCGTCATTCTTAATCTGCCATTTTACCTATCCAGAATCTATCTACACTCATACCAAAATTCGATACCCGACAACTCATACGTAAGTATATCGCAAAATATATATATATTATATCGATGATAAGCGACAGCTAAATCTTTAGTTAAAGCAGCTAGCTAGAGTTAACGATTCAGGTCTCGTTATCGACTGACACGTGAAATATCAATTTATGTACGATACTGATTATTGTCTTACTATTTATTCGTCAGTTGTTCGAAATTTTATAAATTCTACTTTAGATTAGCCATATATAGCGCTAGATGAGGCACTAACCGCGACAGATAATAACAACACATATTGACATCCGTTGAAACGATTTGCTCGAATAGAGCTTTCTTAGCTCTATGGTACACCAGTAACGATGGCTTTCAGGAAACACTCATCTATTTAGGCCCATATTTAATGAGACTCTGAGTATTTATACCATGTACTTTACAGAGGAAGGCACCATAGATACAACAGTCACTTGTGCTATTCTTCGTCAGATTTGCTCTAATGTTATATATATATATATGTATATAATTTTTTGCCCAAACGTGTACTCGAATAGACATGGAGGGAATGATGTGTTGGAAGACGGAAATAAGAACAGACACTACACAGGGACTTATAATATTGTAAGCGGCAAGCAACGGCGCCAGGTGAAAGATCCACATAACAACTTGTGCGTTTGCGTCTCCGTTCTACTGGGCTCGATGACAATGTCCGAAACATGCACATAAAAACAAATACTATTAAGACGACTTGGGAAAAGACCCGGATGGGGTAGTAACCAAAATTAGACCAAAGGAAATGAGACGCTAGGAACGACATCGATGTGTACCTTGTATAGGGACACTTAATTACGGAAAACAACACGGTCCTTAGGCATAAACGCGTGGAATAGAGGCGCTTGAAGAGAAAGCCGAGCGATGTAAGTCTTTACTTACCTATTTCCGTCAATATGGAACGGGATGAATTCGTTTGTAGTAATCGGGACAAATTAACTAGATACAGCTCGGAACAGAAAACCATGTTTTTTTACCAATATGTAGACTTATTGAAATACTAGATCTGTTTCGTACGCTCTACAGACTTACGATTTCAGGCTGAGAACACAATCTGATATTCAATAATCTGATAAAGGCTTGCTCTTACAGGAAGATAGCTGACGTGTTTCACACACACATTTCCCCAGGCACAAATACGTGCATATGTTCGTGCGACGTGATTGTAACTTCATCTTTTATGAGGCAACCTCTCATAAAAGCCATAAGTAGATACAATACCATAAGTAGACACAATGAAGTGGCTTCTTGTCAGAGGGATCCGGCCGTGGTCGTATTACTGGCTGTATAATGGCCGCCAAATGCCCTTACTACGTTTTCATATAAACAAACCTTGTTGAAACCAATAAACTTTTAAATTATTATACAAGCTAATTTTTTAATATACGACTGATAGATAACAATAGTAATAATCTACTTTACTATACAATTTCGCAAGAACCAATTTACGTGTTGTCAACGAGGTTCAACCGAAGACCTTCTTGTCCTCTAGGTCGTTGGCGCTACTATTTACTCCACTCCATTAATACATATTCTATAATGTAACCTTGTTCTTCATCAAATGGAACCGTGACTAGTATAGAAGCTCAGCGCCTAGCGCGCACGGTTTTATTGGAACGGATGTGGTACATCATCTAAAGATTAGGTATAGATTCGAAACCCTCTACTGCGGTCGCTATATCAATTTTTTTCACTCGATACGCATAATGCATCATAAGGTCGCAATTGTACGAGCAACAAGGACATACAAACGGTTTCAAAGAATAACGATTTAAGAATAGTATTATACAGCGTTTAGTCTGGCGAGACACCACTGCCACGGAGCAATAGTACTAGTCTCCAAATCACTATAATCTGCTAGAAACCGTTTTCTTTGAAACTCTCCACTGTTACCGAGATCAAATTGTATAACTGCTTGCTTTCCAATACAGGTATCATTCACTTGTATACATGTATATAAATATACTGCACACCGGAATTATTCAAGTTATTGTAAAAAAAAAAAAAACACGTTTTGTGTTTACATCTACTAAGTTATACAAGTGATTGTCAAAAAGACCTTTGACAGATTTCCCGCTGCATTTGGTCGATCCCAAGCAACGGTTTTGTATTGATTCTCATACAGCCTAAGTTGTTGTTGGATTTGCGCGAAAAAAAAAACAAGACTGCCTTACTTTCTGTGAAGCTTTGCCTGCGAAATGGAAAAGGGAAAAATCGAAGAAAGGATGACTGTAGAAAGCATCAATTTTTAAGTTGTTCGTCGGCGTTGAGGTCGAGGCGCGTAATCTCTAATTCTTTGAGATAATTACTGTTTGCTTATTTTTTTAATTATATGTATTACAAGTTACGCTATACTTGAGCTACACACTTGTTAAAGAACCCTCAGATCCATCGAAAGTCAACCAAAAAATATCTGTCTAGAAAGGCGAAAATAATAACGCAAACTTGTTTTCTATATTTTGCTTCACTTGAATTGTCGTGCTACAGCTAGAATTTTTTAAAAAGATACTAATATATAAACAGTGTGATCGCCGTTTGCGAAGGTGTCGCGAACCGCTTAAAGCTGCTGACGTGAAAAATTTGACTGCATTTTTACACAGGCGTTGAAGTAAGCAATATATTTCTCGAATTAAAACCGTACGTAGATGCCCGTGTTAAATTGCAACCGCTAATCAGTTGTTACATTCGTATCGTTCTCGCCACGTATCCTTTTCATATTTGTCCTTATAGCTCTATGTGCTTCAGCGATATTTCATGCTTCTATACTATACCAACTTCTCGATCAACTTCGTCTTGTACAACGTATCATCTCGGATGTTTCGCATTGCGATGTGTGACTACCTTTACTCGCGGTGGCTGTGGGTCAAAGCATCGCTGGTGGCTTGGCGGCCTTCGAGTTTCTGTTCAAGTTCGAGTGTACAACTCGAACAGGAAGGACAGTTCCTGAACCATCACGTCGTAACCCTGCATCGTCACGCATCTGGTGGTCATCATGCGCTACGTAGGGACCATCAGCTTCTACACGCCAGCGAAACTTGCAGTGGTCGCAGACAGCTGGAGATGAATATATGAAGGTTGCCGGCCTCTCCGGAGACTGCCACGTCCCTGGGGGGGCCCTCAGATGATGCTTCTGAAAAACCGATTACCAAAAGCGTTGTTATGGTTCATTGCCATTAAGAGGACATTAATCGTTAGTGATCAATGCATCATCCAGGGGAGCGAATCCTACAGATAGGTAAATTTAGAGATGCTGTGTGCCTACCGCGCACAAATACCAAGGACCTGCTTAGTTCAAGCTCGCTGGCGCAATCGATATTACGATTCTTTTTAACTCCTGATCCCATTGAAAATGTTGCTGCAATCTGCACATGTAAATACGCATTTAAGATACCGTGTTTTCTCGATGGTATTCGCAACGTACTAAGGCTAAACGGTAAGCTACACCAAATGTAAATAATAGGTAGCAATGAAACTGTGTAGGTGATCGTACATGTAAAAACATGTATGTTAGATAATATAATGCATACACATAGCGGGTAGAATGGTTCGATTCGACGCTCATGAATGTAAATAAAAGTTTTACAACTTGACTCTATATAGAGTTAAGTTGTAAAACTTTTATATAACTTTTATAGAGACCATAGACGACTTGTCAGAAAATAGCAAAGAGCTATTACAAAACGTGTCATAACGGCTAAAAATTTTATTGGCGCTTCTTCGTAACAGGAACAGGACAATGAGACTCATCGCTAAAGAGCCACTGTAAAAAGAAGGACATGGAAAAGAAATGTCACTTTTATTTTTTAAAATTAACTATCTTTTTGAATATCGCAATGAAATGAAATACGATTTTTTACGATAAATAAACCTGGATAGTGTTAAAACGTTTTCTAATATATCAAAAAAAAAAAACAGTATTTACAGTGTATATGTAGTTTATTTTGTCTTGCCGATCTTGGTAGGCACTATGACCGCACCTGTAACTGTTTCGAACCTTTATGCCGTACAGCGGGACCTGCAATCTATCCCTTAAATAGTGGAGGGAGCGGTTTGTTCAACCTAAAACGTTCATAGGTATTGACGTAGGTCACGCTCTCAACGTCGAAAAACGTGCTCCGTTGGCTCATCGAAACAGGTCAGAAAATTTTTTTGCATAACTGTCTAACAGTTCATTTAACGTTAATTTTGAAAGTGTTAAAAATAACCTAGCGTTCATATATTGTTGATCAGCTGTAGCCAAGTTGAGGCATATTGTTACTGCTGTCAGGGTTGAAAGGAGCATCTCTTGCGTACGCGATCCATATTTTTTGAATCAAAAATGTACAATTGTATAATCATGAATACTTTTTGTACAGGAAAAAACTATTAGAGATTACTTTCGGCTATGGTTTTACAGTTTGGTTCTATTCTATCGATGTTAATCAAACGCTTCCGTATAAACACTATTAAATCTATTCAGCGACCCAAAGGTACTTTCTAGCCTCTTTGGATTTTGCTGGCCAAATGCCTTTTGCAACTGGACTGAAGTACTGCACAAAAGAATAAATAGAACCAATTATTGTTTGTGTAATAACTTTTCTTGCACTATGTAGGTCAACTCGCCATAGACAAAACTATATATGGCAGCTCTTTTTTTTTGCCTCCAAGTGGGTCTAGGAGTTCCAGCGGCCCGAATATCGTCAAGCTCTTATATATTGCTATTGGCGAGGATACACCCACTGACGGTAATCGCATTGTTGGCTTTACAGATCCGAAGCTAAACTATTTGGCCTCATATTTTTGTGGATTTGGACGAGTTTATCTACATATATATTTTCATGGTGTCGAGTCTTGTAGGCTACTTGATAACACAGCTTTAAATACTACGAATATTGCTTGTGCTTAGAGTGACATAGTACCTTGAAGACTTTGAAAGGCAGATTGGCGCTCAATATAGCTAGCCGTGAATGTAGATAAAAAAAAAAAATGCATGTTTGAGTAATGCTGAAAAATCGTCAGGTGATTATGAGGATGCTTATGAAGACATGTGTATATATGTATACATATATAAACACGGTGATACTTTCAAATCAGTGAAAACATTGGCGGGCTGTTTATCATAACGAGTCTGTATTCATCCGCTGTTCCTGCTGGCAGACAAAAACCAGTTCTTCCTATAATAAAACCATCTGTACATAACGAACACTGGTGTGCATTCAAGCTAATAAATGCTTTAATAGTAAAGATATTCTTTTTGTTCGAAATCGAGAATAGTGTTGCCAGTTTGCACTGTTTGAATTTGGCGCGTCAAATTTTTTTTTGAAAACTTTAGGCCATAAAACGAAAATTGAATTTCGCTAGAGTTTTTTTTTTTTCTAAGTTTCACATCTACTAATGTTGTTAATATTTGACGCTGCCAAGTTAATAATGGTTACAAAAACGTAAAAATCATAGTAGGGTAAAATAGTTCTTGTAATAGACGAACATGTCTTTTAAGTCCACAACAAAGCGAGACGAAAACGCAGGTGAACATTTCTAATATCGATGAATCGCTATTTCCCTGCGTGATTACGATACTGTACTTTTGTTTGATATTGCCCACTTTCGCCTTAGAGTTTTGTTTTTATTAATTTAGGCCACAAACTATATCTATCATCAACTGGGCACCATTTGCTAGTTCAGTTCTGGGGGGGGCAAATATTAGATGACAATGTAATCGGGGTGTGGAAATTGGATAGGCTTAGTGTATAACAGTATTAAGCAACGCAATAATGTGATCTCTTACACTGATAAGTTTAGCTTCATTTGCGGGTGGCTTCGGCTTGTTGTTTTCTCTTAAAACCTTCCAGTATTTATACCTAGAATAAAAATACGTTTCCAAAACAATTTCTACTTGCGCTAATCTTATTCGATGTTTATGCTAACACCTTACTGGTCGATACTAATAAAAATAATCATTTGGCTACGGTCGAGTTATATTAATTTCAAGGATACAGTGTAGATTTTCTGCTTAAACTATCTAGCTAAGCACTATCTAACTCATATGCAGAGGCAAGAGGCTTTCGTAGAAAAACTTCAAGCATCAATTTCATTCGTCGGGGGTTCGCCTAGCTATAAGTTACCTTGAAGAGGAACGGGTGTCGTTGCATGCGTAGCGTATGAACGGGCTTGAGAAAGTACGCATACTTATATTATACGGAGCAAGGTTTGAAAATAAATCGACGGATCTGCATTTTAGGAAAATTATCGTTGTCTTTACCTTTTAGGTGATATCGTATGTCTATGAGTACTTTATAAGCAGATAGTAATTTAATGCTATGTTATTATTTTGTCAAATATGTTTTTAACTTGTGAAGTACTTATCGCACCTGCGTGCAGCAAGTTCTCTAATCGAATGACTACGAACAAGAAAGGAATAGTGACGGTTTCGGCTGAATGATAGAAATTTGTTATCAAAAATAAGCAAGATCATTCCTTCCTGTTCGTAATTAAATTTCGATTAATTTACATCTCGCAGTATTCGCCACATGTTCTATATATATATATATATATATAAACGATAAAATTTGTGATCTAGATCGTTTGAGTTGCCTCAAACTCCTGTCTGGGATTTGTAAGTTGGCTATCTAAATTATTAGTAATATCACCTACAGAGGGGAAATTCGTGTTCCGTCTCTACAGCCTGTCGATTTAGATGCTAAAATTAGTAGTAGCGAGCCATCTGTACCTAAAGAATTCTATTTCACTGGCGTTCGTCTAGTGACGACGGACAACTATCGAAATAATTTCTACTAATGGCCGCTGGTCGAAGTTTTTCGTTGATGAGCTGTGCCGTGCAACACCAAGTAAACATTACTTTCATATAGATGTATCGAAAATCCTTTAGGTCTGCAGGGTATCACGGAAAATGGCCAACAATGCATGCTTGCATTGCTATGTCCTATAATCGTATTGATTATAAGTTGTTTTTTTTTATTCGGCAATTCAATACCTTTTCCAGTTGGATTTGTCATTAGTTTAATAAAATTCTGACATTACGATCATTTGAGATCTGTAATAAAATACCTAGGTTTTATACAAGCTCTGAGCTCATTCTTCGCCTTGTCTATTTGATCACCCGCTATCGATTTCGAAAGTAATTCCATTAGTAGCTACTCAAAACATCTAGAGGGAAAGGTATCGTCTTTCCGACCTTTGAAAAGGCCTCTATACGTTACAGTCGACACAATCACAAAAGGAGAATTTTAGTGCAGTTAATTTTTGTTGCCAAAATGAATAATCTCCGATTTACGCAACTATAGCGTACCCTAAACACAGCCGTATCGAACTAATACTGTTCGAAGAAAGGTGTTTAAAGCGGTTTACATTTAATTGGCTTATTGGTAATGTTAGGCATATGGCCTAGATTAGGCCTAGTTGACTCTACTGGCGATTGCTGCAACACGACAGTATCAAATTCACAATAGAAATGCTGGCTAGACATGAGAAGGGATCGGAGTTTTAGGTGGTCGGGAAAAGCGTTTCTTCTGGTTTCGGACGCTGCTTTCGGTCGGTAACACTATCTAGTGCCAGGGAGACGCAGCTAATCCTTCACAGTCCCAGCAAAAATGTTACCAAAACAGTGTGGCCCCTTTTAATATGAACATCGATATTAGTGGCGCCAACGTCGCTGCGCTTTGTTGCACGCTGCACATGTATGTGGCACGCTTAGTGCATACTTGTATGTCGATACTAGTAGCATGCACAGTGCCCCGCTAATCCAACTGCTCCTCTTAAACATTATTAGTAACGTAAACAGCAACCGAAGCGATTGCAAAACAAACATGCACTAGATGAAGATGTAACGAACGCCATCTGCAAATATATAAACGTATGTCTTCAACAAATGTGAAAATTAAGCATCAATAACCTGGATGTTTCTGTTGTAGCTCAATCTGCATTTACTTTTTACCTGACTTTTCTCAACAGCAGCTGTTTATTTAGACGAACATATCTATGATGAAGTTGAAGGTAGTACCTATAATTCGACAGTTCCTCCTTTCCGTTTGTACAGCCTTCCACAACAATATCTATATATAAAAATCTGTTGCTACTTTTGCTGTCGGCAGCAACGCATCGTGGATAACTAAATTCAATTCGAAATATAGACGAGCAGTGAGACACGCGCAGCTTAAAGTTGCAGCTTGTTATATTGGAAATTCAAGAAAGCTTAAGACACTCCAAAGAATAACTTATAATTCAAACCAGAACACTTTCTGATTTACCGGGTCGATTACCTACCCATTTAGCTATCGCACTATTTGAAACAATGGTGCGGAAAAGTACTAGTTTTCAACTTAACGGTAGAGTTTTGCGTAAAAGAAGAAACCTGCATGAGTATTACAAGGAGTATTAAAAAGGACTGACTTTATAAGACTTTAAAGGACTTTGATAAGCGTTTTCGCTTTGACCGAAATCGATATTAAAATAAAGGAAGCTGATAGAGAAACCGTTTTGCTGTCCGTGCGCTGTCAAATAACTACAGCACAATTTTGGTAACACTTCTTTCCGTGTTTGATTCTACAAAAAAATATCCGTCTCTATTTAAAAAATCATCCGAAAAACCTGTAGGTCTATCTGACTAATAATGATAATGTGGCCGTATATGAAAAGGTGCCTTACAATGGACCGTCGTAAAACGGCTTTACACGTGTTTAGCACCTTGGGCTCTTCGTATCCTCAATCGTAAATTTTCAGTCACCCTGTGTTATTATCTGCTATGAAAAACGTAGGACAAGTAAACTGTCTACTGAAACAGGACTAGGCTTTCAAGTGGTTTCACTATTGAAACTTTGTCACAAATCGTAAATTTATCTTAGATTTGATGTGTTTCTGTATAAGCGATCTCCGCTAAACAGTATCTACTTTCCGGAACGATTCTGAGAGGATAGCTATTTTTATGTAGACTTTGGCTGTAAAAGGAGGCATTTTCCTAGCGGTCCCACAACGTACGCTTCAGCCACCAGGAAGATTATAGTCCTTTATCCTGGCTACGAGTTAATATTGGTAGTCTGAGGAAGATTTTATCAACCAAATATGCTTCAAGGAGACTATTATTGATGATATTTTTAGCTTAAGTACATTCGTCATAAGCGAATGTTCTTTGACGCTTGCGCGCTTGAAAATGTGAGGTACGTAAAAGAAAAATGTATGCGCTCATTAAGTAGGCTAATTATAGTAGGAATACGTATGAACAACCTATTGCCAGGGAGCTTCGCAAGACCGAATTTTAATTAAAGCAAAAACAAATGCTATCATCCTTTTTTCTTTTGTCTGCATTTCCAAACGCAATACCCCCGCCGTTGTTACGGAGTAGTTGGGTGGTTTACTATATCCAAGTGAAAGACTTGTCCGGCGATTTAGCAAACCACATATTGCTTCCTTCGTTTCACAAACGAGAAAAAACATCTAAACGCGTAGACGTAATTATAGTAGCACTCTAGGGGTCACTAAAATAACCCAAAAATTTATTTGAATATTTCCGTCTATTTTCTAGTGTTTTGAAGCTTGTCGAAGCTAGTTTATTTTTTTTAAGAAAATTGGTTCATCTATGTGGATTATCTAACGGCCAAAAAGCATGCCATTATACAGCTAGCTGCGAAAAAAAACTTTGGGATCAGAGACCTTTTATCGATACGAAATATGGAAAGCCGTTATAGAAACCAGCGTGTTTGCCGATCGTGCTGTCCAGCGGACATTGCATAGCGGCAGAGGCGACTGACAGGGTATGGCCTTTAAAGCTTTGCCACCCAACATATTATAAGTATCAAATGTTCGTAAAGTAAAATATTCGTAGAGTTCAAATCAGGCAGTTGTCTGTATAAAACACTGACGCACCATAGAATGCAATGGTTATGGATGAATACCTAGAAAATCCTAAGTTAGTGGTCGTCTGTTCAATGAGAACTGCAAACCTATTTTTTTTCTAGAAATTTGTCACAACTAGACAAGCGCAAACAACTTGATTTTTGTGTAGTGAGTTTTTAATTTGTGCTGAGATGGAATGCGTCTTGTGAAAGCAAAACATGAGCGTTGTTCTCACAATCGAGCTGAAATGTATTAAGGAAACTGCAAAAGCTGTCTTTAAGACTTTCACTTGCCAGGGCAATCTCAAAAATATAGCCCATAAGATAAATATAGGGAAAAAAAAATATTGAAAAAAAAACTGCGGACTCGAAACGCTGGCTTCAATGCATTGCAAGGGCCTATTGTAGATTCTTAGGGGA